TTTTGAAGAGCGTGTTCGGTCTTTGTTATTTGGGAGTTTAAAACTTCTCTTTTAGCAGCAAGAGGAAAAGAAGAGTTAGAGGAAAGAAGCAGGTTCAAAAGAAGCCCAACCAAAAGGCTCTTGTCACATCTGTCATCAACCCTGGCCATGCCCTACTGACAGAGCTCCAGCAGGAGCAGGGATGATCCTGTTCCACAGTGGTGACAGCTCTGGAACCCAGGCAGACCCAGGATAAGAGAAGCAAAATCAAATTAAAGCCCTGGGAAGCCCTTTTTTTTTTTTTTTTTCACATTTAGCACTAAAAACAAGGTCAGTCCATGCTGATGAGGAGTGCTGAATTTGTTCATTTATTCATCATGTATTAATTCAAAGTTTTTGCCCTAAAACTTTAGTTTGGTGACCCCAGGTCCAGCTTTCAGCTGTCACTGTCCCAGAACATCAGTCCAAACACCACTGAAAATATCCTCACCCACTCCCTGAAAAAAAAATGAAATGCTTGGACCTATACAGCTCTCCTCTGTTCCTGCTGCAGATTTTCCTGGGAAAAACCTTCACTCCTCAATGCAAACTCCACCTGTCACAGTACTGCCCTGTGCTGGAGAGGCACGAAGAGGAACTGCCCTGGCTTTGGAGCTCATCACTTTGCAATGCCACTGTTGTCACCTTCCAGGAGTGCCAGAGCTCAGCAGCAGGCAAGAAAAACAATGGACTGAAGTCAGGATTCTTCAGCATTTGAGATTCTAGGAGTGTAAAACGCTACAGCAACTTGCATCCCTAATTAAGGGTGCTTCTCTGGGAGGGCTGATATTCCCATCCCTCTGGCTGGGAGGATACAGATTTGGTGTCCAGAAAAGCAGATTCTGAGAAAAATAACAGCTCTTCCCCTCGTGGCCCTTGACTGCAAGTCAAAATTCTTGTAATGATCTGTCCAGTCTCTTCCCATAACTTGCTCAAAAACTTGTTTTCATTTACGATTCCCTGTTTTTTCCAGGTAGAGCTCCTGGCCCCTCGTCTCACACAAAACCTTTCCAACTCTCTTGACCTCTGCCTCCAATTTCTTGCTCTTATCTTCCAAATAATGCAAGACAGGGATCTGGATTGAAAACCTACTGGATAACCTGACACAAAGTGTTCTAATGCAAAGTGCAGCCAAACCCAGAAATACTTTTAGTGTGTCAAGTCCCCAAGTGCAGCTCTCAAGGCACTTTGGCCAAGCTGGGTGTTGAACTAATGACTGAACAAATTCCCGAGCAAAAGCCACCAGAAAGTGCTAATCCTTCTCCTGGAGGAAGTTTATCATACTGGGGTTAGGTTACAGCCATGGCAGAGAGACCAGATAAATCCTTTTAAATTATATTCCACTAAATGATTATCCATTACGTGGAAGAGGTATCTTCTGCACTAAAAGCTTTGCTACTCAATAGAACTAATGACAAATTAAAGCTGACCATGTAAATAAGCAAGATGGGAGCTGATCTGATTTTGCACTTTACTGAAAAAAGTGACAGATTAATCAATTCAAATTCACTACAGAAATATTTATTGTGAGACCCAACAGTTACAATTAGAGCTTTCTCCCCTTCCAAGCACTTATTTGTGAAGAATATTTTTCCAGTTTGAACGGGAAACCCAGGTTCTGATTGCAAGTTTCCACTTGAGATTAAATACCAAATAAATAAAAAGAGATTTCGGTTGTTTTCATTTAGCACAAGAAATATTCCTTCTTATTTTTTGTCAGCTGCCTTTCTGGGAAAAAAGGCAGTAGGTGGAAGACAGAAAAAACAATGAAGGTAAATACATGTTTTCATGTTGCACTTTATAAAAATTTAACTACACCCAGGTATCTCTTTTACTGTGCTTGAAAGAATTTCTGAAAAGCACTTGGCATTTCAATTTTATTTTCCAAAATACATGCACTCAATTTATGATAAACAAATGCATGAGATCATTACAGAGAGGGGGGAAAAAAGAACATTACACGATAAAAAGCTTAATAAGCCATGACATTGATGAGGTCAATTAAAGTCAGCATTAAATGTGTTAATTACATATAATATAAGAACTAGATAAAGATATGGAAGAGCAAGACAAACACACTCAAAGTTTCCACCCTGGTAGAATTTTATGTGCCTTGGGAATTTATGTGGGTATCAAGAACTGTTTTTAATGGGAATAACCTTCAGGAGTTTTCTGAAAATAGATTTACAGGTCTAGAAAAGTCCAGGGCTCATCCAGAGTATTTCAAGAATTCTGCTGTTTAACACAAAGACTTTTTGCTTAGCAATCCAATTTGGTTGTTTTTTAAGGAAATTTATGGAAGTACCAAAACTGCAGCACTTGAGACCCACGTCCCAGTTGCTCAAAATTCGGGCAGATGCTGAAATGTTCAGCTAGGTCCAAGCCAAGGGGAAAGACAAATCTGAAGAGGGGGACAGGATGTGAGCAACACCTGGGGATCTGGGGAAAAATAATTTCTTTACTGTGCATGGGGTCCCACCACGTATTCTTTTCCATCATCTGAAGCATGTCTGGGAAGAAGGTGGCTTTTTGTAAGGAATAATTCCTGAGCAAGACTCCTGCACCAGCAATTATGAGTGGATGCAAGTGTGGGGGAGACCCTGGGCTCAGCCCTTAAGGATTTCACCAGGATTAATGGTCAACCAGAAGTTAGAAAACAAGTAGATTAGATTTTAGCAGAGCAAAGTTGGGAGAGTAAGTGCAGGGTGAAATTCAGCATGATAAAGCTGGAGAGAGAAAGGACACAGAGGAAATAGAAAGTGTTCAAAGATAAATTAATGTACGCCCGGGGGTTGTGTGTGCCACCTCCCAGTAATTGCACAGGGAATGTTCAAGTTGTTTTTGCTATTTTTTTTCTCCTCTAAAGCCAGTGTGAAGGAACATCAAAATGTAAAAGTAATCAACAGTGGAAGAAAAGGCAGACACGAGTTATAAAACATCAAATACAGAGCAGGGTTGGAACAATTGCATAATGAAGTTGAGAGCATAAAAAGCGATAAGAAAAGCAAAGGCAGTGAATGAAAAGAAACTTTGCAGGGAGGTAAAATAAAATTAGAACAGTTTTCAGGTCCAGGGAGGAAATAAGAGGCTGAAAACAAGACTCGGGTGTCTGCCAGAGTCAGGACAAGGTGCTACCCAAAGAAGTGACAGTGCTAAAAACCTAAAATATTGCTCTTTGATTTGGAAAATAACTAAAATTTAGACCATCTCACAGAAGGCAGCATGAAAGAAATAAATCCCGAAGAGTTTTCTGTCCTTAGGAACCCCCTAGGTATCCTGAGGAGGGCTCCTGGGCAAACACCAGAACAAGCTGAGCTGGTGCTGAGGACTGGGGGCAGGAAAACACAACCCTTGGACAAAGTCTCCCAACCCAGGTGAGCCCAGGCAGCCACCAGCATCCCTCAGATCCCTGCCAGAATTCCTGTGCCATGTCCTCTCCCCAGAGAGTCCTAACATGGACCAGGTCCCAGAGAAACAGGGCTCAGAAAGGACACAAGAAATATCACCAACTTTTGAAGAAATAAGCTGGGATTTGGCTGCCCTGACAATTATCAACCCCAGCTGGAAGGAGCAGAGTTTGCACTTCACTCTCAAGTCACCAAGTTCCTCCCTCATGGAAAACCTTCCAGTTCCTGGACTAACTCCTGTGACCTCCCAGGTCAGGCAGACCTTTCCTGTGTCCCAGGGGTGCAATAATGCCACAGCAGATTCTGGCCACGTTTTCCTCCTCAGGCCTTCCCAAGGCAGAGCTCTCCACCCCCAGAGCCAGGTGGAGCTTCCCAAGGACATGAAGCAGTTTACACAAGTTCTACCCCCAAACAGCCAAGGACACCTCTTCTGCAGCCCCACATCAAAGGAGGGCTGAGCTGCACCCCAATCACACTGGGGATGAGGATGTCTTGTGTTTTCTGTTGATAACAGAACATCCTTTGGCTCAACACTATTTTCAGCACCAGAGCCTGAAGGACACATTCTCCCTGAATTTAAGATGCTGTTTCCACCTTTCCTTCATGTGATCTATTAAAGTGAGAGTGTACACTGAAATGTTCAGCAGAAGCAGGGAGTGAGTCATGGGGACTAAAACACCAGTGACAGAGCCAGAAGCCAACCAGGACAAATATTTCACCCAGGCTCCCTCCACAGGTCAATCTTTCTGCTCATCTAAAACAAATATCAGTGGCTTTATGCTCTTCTTGGGTAGCTAAAGCACCATCAGGAGATGGAAAGCAGAAATAGGACAGAAGATAGAGGTTTTATAGAATCCCAGGATGGTTTGGGTGGGAAGGGACCTTAAAGCTCATCCCATCCCACACCCTGCCAGGAGCAGGGACACCTTCCACTGTCCCAGGTTGCTCCAAGCTCCATCTAATCTGGCCTTGGACACTTCTTCCTGGGATCCAGGGGCAGCCACGGCTTCTGTGTGTTCAACTGGGCTTATTATTTGACTTTTAGGTTGTGTTCAGCCTCTCCTGCTTATAGACATTTTTATTTTTTTTCCTTACAGGGGCACAAGGGCAGTTTAGTCCTTGAGAGCATGTGGGTTTACATTTTATGTGTCAAATAAACACAGTAGCCCCAGATATGATTCAGACACTCCCCAAGGCAGTTCTCTGAATATCCCCATCCCTCCCTCTCTGCAGGCTGTCCAGTGCCAGGCATTGCAGGAAGGAACGCCGAATTAATCCCAACACTTATTCCCAAGTACAGTGTCTGCTCCACAATTCTGCCACCAGAATTAGCAGGACACCAAACTAACCAGAATTGGTGGTTCTCAAGTTCTCTCTGTTGTACTTGGAGCCTTAAGGTCTTAAAAATTAGAGAAACACCATTCAGTGCATTGGTTTTAAAGTACTTCAGTGACTAAGGAGAACCAGGAGGCAGCTGCAGATATTTTGTACCATATTAATATTTATTTGAAGCTGTAAATAAACAGCAGCTCTTTTACCTCATTTCCCGAAGGAGAAAAAAGAAAAAGAAACTACCTGGTCCAAGAGTTCTGCATCTCCCTTTCTGCTGCCACTAGAGGGAGAAGCCTGTTCCTGGGATCCCATGGCTTCTGGGCTGTTTTTTTGGAATAGAATGGGAATTATTTCCGTTACAGGGACAGACGTTTGTCCCTCTGTGATAAGCAGGGATAAGGCAAAAGGAGAGCCTCTAAAATGAAGTGGGATAAACATTTCCTCCCCCCACTCTCAAATAAACTCCAGTTACAATCCTCAAACCTTGTGAATTTAAACACTGCTGCAATTGTTCTTCTTTGTTGGAACACAAATCTTTCCACTGTGTTTACTCCCATTGCATCCAGGGCAGAGGAGGCCAAACAGGAAGAAAGGAGAATACTGCGTTCCTATCAATGTAGGAACAAAGGATGTTTTCTAGTGGCTTGAACTAATTCTGATTGAAAAACCATAAAATTTTCAATCAGCTGAAGGAACAGTGGAAATTCATTGTGGGCAGGAAAAGATCCTAAAGTAGTGCTTAAATAACAAAAAAAAAAAAAAAATTCCTGGATTTGTACTTCTTTGTCTTGTTCTAATTCAACTTAAAGAAACATACTGATGAATATTTTTTGTGTCACTACATTTGAAATATTTGAACTAATAATGATTGCTTTGAATAAATGTTTGTATCAGTGGCACAGTCATTTCACTGCTATGGAAGATATTGCGAAACAGCCTCAAATGTGGATGTAAAAAACATTAGTACCTTCCCTAAATATGAAACGTCTCAGACATGCAGAGTAACCCCCAAAATGTCCTTTGAAACACAGGCTGCTGGTGGCCAACAATGTGCAACCAAGCCTGGCTTTGTGACACTGATGAACATAACAGACTGAGCGGGTAAAAAAGTCATTTTTCCAGACAATGAGGCACTTTGCAGGCTCAGGGCTTGGCCACATCTCTTCTGGGACACTCACTGTCCTTGTTCTTGCCAAAAAACAGCAGCAATGCTGGTCCTTAAGGTCATCAAGGATGAAACTTTGTCAATCTTACACTTAAACTGCAGGTGCAAACATCATCATACTCCTGGGATAATCTCAAAAGATTCCTTCCTGTCCTTTAAAGGGTATGAAAAATGGCTAAACCCACCTAAATACAAAAACCTTCCCATGGTTCAGCTATCCCAACCTCCTGGTACAGTGGCTGAGGTTAGCAAGTTATCCCTGCTACAACCCCTGTGTTTTATCCCAAATATATAAAGCATCCTGCCTGGTTTTAACTGGAAGAATTCCAGTCCCCACCTGCTCTTTTCTCACTGTCCTAAAGCCTGGACACAATTATTTTGGATGTTGCTCCTCACCAGCACACTCAGCTTAAATTCTGCCTCTTCTCATCATGCACTAAGCAGGAAAACTACTTATTCCAAATGTGATTCCTGTTCTCTGACAATTAATAATAACATTTTTTGAAAGCAAGATGAGCAATGCAACAGAAGGCTCCCAGGCTCAGTGCAGGGGCTGCCACTGAGGCTTGGAGAGAAACACATCCTCTCTCATCAGCTGAAAACCTGGGGAGCCAAAGCATCAACTACAACAAGCTTTTCTTTTCCTGGTGCTTTACTTGATGTTTTTTCAGACCAGCTGCAGTGCTCTCCTCACTGAATGGGAGGTCACTTCAGCACTGTTTCCGTAAAAGAGGCTGGAATCTCAAATTGGTGTTAAAAGTTCAAACTCATGACCCATCACATCCACAGCATTTTGTTGTTATTGTTGTGAGAGTGACAGGGTTTGGGATTTAAAAACTGCAGCTATATTTGTATGATCCAAGTGATTTTCTTCTCCTGTGATGATTTCATAGCAGAAAGCTTAAGACAACATTCCAGATTTTCCACCCTTTGGTGTGCATGTGTCTATGTACATGCACACATACACAGAAAATAGAAAACATTCCCCAGTAAGTTTTCCTTTCTGAAAGAATTTTCACCAGCCTTGCAGAGTAACAGCATATGCAATATGTGTGTCACTCAAACATTTCCCTTAACTGCAAAGTTTGTGTCAAAATCTGTTCTGGAACAACTCCACAACATGCACTTCACATAACCCTGAGCTGCAGGTTAGGCTCCACTTTAAGTATGAAATATTAAGTGAGCTCATAATAGCTAAATCACTCCATTGTCATTCCAGCACTAACCCAGGTTGGCAGAGCTCACGCTCCATGATGTCACCATTTATACCTTGCTGCAGTTGCCAGCAGAGCCCAGTTTGCATAAATTAGCTTTGATCGATGAAATGTGTTAACATCTTTTATTTTTACCTTGGAGCACACTTGGAATGAGCCTTTTTAGTGTTTTAAAAATGCATATGGGTGGCTTAAGTGCCAGGTTAGAATATACTGCCAGCTACAGAACAGTCAGAGCACTGGAAGTTGGAGGAACTGGGGACAACCAACACCCCTGGCCATCAGCAACACCTTGATAACATCCAAAAAGCCACCTTCCAACGTGCAGGTTAGAAAGACTTTTGAAGCCAGCCCTGAAATAGCAAGGACAGATGTAGGATGGATTTCACCATCCCTCCACACATTAAACCCCATCCCACCTTGCATCAACTCCCACCGAAATAAATAACTCAAGAACCATATAACATAAATAACAGCAGAATGGCTTGGGGTGGGGGGGGTAGGAAATCATCTCTCCATTTCCTAAAAATAGCTTCCTTTTGGCTACGCTGCTCCTTTATGCCTTTCCTTGAGAAAGCAGGGATGAACAGAATACTGATTGGGATTCACTGGCAGAGGCAGCCTCAGGAGCTGCATTAGAGGCACATTTCCCCCCCAGCCTGCTGGTTTTCAGAAGGAGAAGGTATTTTCCATCTCCTTTTTCCCTAGGCTGGCTCTGTGACTGCCATTCCCTGCTCCTCTTCATCTCAAGGCTGTCTCTGCCAAAGAGGTGCTTTGAGATTCTGAGCTCCCACACCAAATCCAGCACAGCCCCAAAACTCCCTCTGGGCTTGCATGGAACTCTCAGAAGGAGCTACAGACACACGTGGAAGTGCAGGTTTATCCACCCAGCCTTCCACAGCCCTTCCCTGGTCAGCTCTTACCACCCATTCTTACATTCACAAATGTAGCTGTCAAACCCTGACCAGGGTTAAGCTGAGGACTCCCGTCCTCGCTCTCTTCCATTTCCAAATCCTGGTGGATCAAGTGAAACCTCCTTCACATCAACGAGTTCAAGCTTGGTCACACTGAATTCACATAAATCATGGAATCAGAGAATGGATTGGGTTGGAAGGGACCTTAAATACCAACTAATCCAGCCCTGCCATGGCAGGGACACCTGCCACCATCCCAGGTTGCTCCAAGCCCTGTCCAACCTGCCTTAGACACTTCCAGGGATGGGGCAGCCACAGCTTCTCTGGGCAACCTGTGCCAGGCCTCACACCCCTAAATAAGCTCTACTCCACTGCTCAAAGAGCTCTGCCCCAGAGCAGAAGAGATTGTAAAGAAATCTTTCATTTTTTCTGTTTTTTACTATGTACTCGATTCCAAAGGCGTTTGGAAGAAGAAATCCTCTCCCTCCCAGGGCTGAAGCCACAAAGACCTGGGATGCTGCTGGGATTTCACCCAGAAGATGTGAGCAGATATAAAGTTTGCTTTCCATCCAACCCCTCCAGCTCCTCTGGGGTAAGAGCTCAAGCACCCAAACTTCCTTATTTTCCCACATTGCCATGTGTTTGAAAACCCCTGACACACATTGAAACGAAGGGAAAATACCTGTGCTGGTGGTGTCTGAGCTGTACAGGCTGAGGAGAGCGACAGGAGTCATACACACACAGCCAGATGAATGGAGAAGAGGTCAAATCAAAGGCTATCCCCATCCAAGGTTTATTTCGGGACCCCTTCTCCAGCACTACGAGGGGAGCCCCAGCCCTCTCAGAACCAAGCTGTTCCTGCTATTGCTGGCTTGGGACAAAAAGCACACTGCTGCTAACCTCTTACATAAAGTGAGCAGGCAAACAGCTGAATTGCTGACCCCACGTGACCTTTTCCCCAGGATTTGTGGGTTTGCACAAAGAAGCCAACATTTTACATGCAGCCCTTGATGGAGTTTGGAATTGTGCAGAAACCCTGTTTGGAGTGCACACTCTTAACCCAATTGTTTGTGTACAATGTTCCTCCGCTCTGATGCCAAACACTGGAGGTCTCTGGGTTATTTTTTCTATTTTTATTTTATTTTTCTTTAAAGCTGCTTGGTCATACACAACTTTGAGTGCCTGCATATACCTCCACTACCATTATTTATTTTATTTTATTTTTTTTTTAAAGCTGCTTGGTCATACACAACTTTGAGTGCCTGCATATACCTCCACTACCATTAGTATTGCCATATTATACAAGACTGCTCTCAGGCATGATTTTTTTCTTAAAATCTATCCTTTCTTTCAGCTGAGCACTCAGAACTCACTAGATATGAGCTCCAAAATTATTAAACACTTCTTGGCTCTGAGTTTTCTGTGCAGGCAGAGATACATATCAGGTTTATTCTATGAGTGGGAGATGCTTAGCAAGAGCAGTTGACTCAGTCTGCGTTTTGAGTAAACAATTCACTTCATCTTTACACGCAAATTGATTGATTTAAGATTTTTGGAGGCTTTTGTCAATCGTTAACAGATATAAAACATTCATAAGGAAGTGCCACTTCCCTTTGAGTGGGCAAAAAACCTCAGGCACGAGGTGCCAGCAGCTCCTTTCATTGAGCCAGGGGCTGCACTGACTTTCCCTGCCCAGGAAATCCTCCAGCACTGCCCCCATTAGATCCATGAAAACCACTCGAAAGCCTGTGCTGCAGCAGGGGAGTTCAAGGACCACACACTCCCCCTTCCCTCTGCTCTGGATGTTTAAATCATCCCCAAGTAATCAAGTCTCACACCTCGGAGGATGAGAAAGTGCCAGTGATCCGAGAGCCCAACTGGTGGATTACACAAGGGAGGGTGAAAGCACGGAACGCCACAATGCCCGAATTCAACAACAACAAAACAGCATTGAGGCATCCCAGCACAAAAATCCCCATTGTACGTTGGATTTCCAGCCATCCCAGCTCCGAGCTGCTAAAAACTACAGGATAAACCATTCCCTCCTCCCAGCTATCCCAAATCCAACCTTGGTGTTTTTGTTTTAATTCAAAGACACATTAATTGTTGTGAAGGCACAAAGTATTACCTGGAATAACACTTCAAATGCAAATTAAGGGCCATGTAAAATTATTGTAGTGCAAGAGTACCATGGTTTATTAACAGCAGATTTGCAAGGTTAATTTTCAATTATGTATTTCTTATTAGTTTTCTAGCTGTCTTGCTATTATTAAATTTAAAGAGGAAGATACTTTCAATGTGTCCAGCTTCTGTGGTGTTATTACTGATAATTATTCCTATTTTCCAATTTGTGTTACTCTCATGTCTTGCAAAATTTGTAATTAATGAGCAAATAATTATAGCAGCACTTACTAGAGCTGCTTTAGTTAAAGCTGTGTCAGCTTTTGTATTAGGATCCCCATTTTTCAAGGGTTTATAACTCAAGCATAAAAATTCACTCTGGGCAGAGCCTTGTCATAAGAGCTGTCTGCTGAGCATGATTTTTTGTTTTTAAATATTTCTAAGCAGCATTATTTTGTTCTTTTTTCTGAAAGTTATGGACATTTTATTATAGCTGAAAACTTCTGAGCGCATTAAATTTACAGCACTCTGTTTTCCTATGCTCCAACGCCTTGGAAGTAAAGACATTTTATTTTAAGGTGAAGGCATTCACTTTTACAAATAGGAAACGATGCCTCAGCATCTCCAAAACCCAGAACTGGGTTTTTAATGCCTGGTGGTCATTAGCTTTAGAAAACAGACACAGAAGAGAGCTTGACATTCAGGGATGTTTGTGCTGATCCCACCCAGTCAAAGCATTCAGGCACTGCCTCAATTAAGGCACACGAGTGGTCCTTAGGAGTCAACAGGGCTGGCCAGGCTCTCTGCGATGCCCAAAGCATTCACTGCCCAATTCAGCAGAACAAAGCTCTGCTTTTGAGGGAGCTTTGGGCTGTCCCCATTCACTGCCACGGCTGTCCACGTGCCTGGGAGCACCACAGGGATCTCTCCTTCAGGATGCTCAAACAGCTCAGCACCTCCTCAGCGAGGTGCTCAGAATCACACAGGGGCCTGGCTGGCACCAGTTTACAATTTAGCACAAAACCAGTGCTTCTGTTTTTGTGTGAAAGGGGAAACCCCAAGGGAAAAGCAGCAGATCCCGACACACCCAGGTTTGCTTTACACACTTGGCCACAAAATGAAATCGGAAATTGGCAGCTCTAGAACAAATATTCTGCAAAATTAAGCTCTACCAGACAGCCTGTCACAGCTGCCTCCTCCAAGAATTCCATGTGGTCACTCGTCCAGAAACACTGGGCACATTCCTTCATCACTCCTGCTCTTCTGCACCCTTCCTCCTGCAAAGGGCTTTGGAGCAGCCACCCAGCTCCCGGAGAGCCACTCTTAGAAATCTGAATCACAAGGGTGGGAAAAGATCTCCAAAACCATCAAGTGACTCTTGGAGTGTTTGACCTTAATCCTGACCCTGTTTGACCTTAATATTGAGCTTAATTAAAGCAAGACCACCATTACTCAGCAAAAACATCAGCAGTGCTGTGGAAATCAGCTTTAGTGCACTTTACAGAAGCTTTGAAGAGCAGGGTGAATTAGACATTTCCAGCAGCAAACGACCAGCACAAAACCCCAGTTTTACTGGGAGCCATAATCAGAGATGAGGTAAAACCAGAGAATGATGAGGTGTATCCATATCAGGCACAGCAAGTCACAGAATGCAAGGTTTGCCCTCTTGAGAATCCAGGTAACTTTTTCCTTAAGCCTCTTCATCAGGAAAGGAGGCTGAGCCTTCTCTGCACCTTTTATTTACTCTTCTATGACTCCCATCACATAGGTTTTTCACACCCTCATTTGGGGTAATTTTCTCCTCATGTTTGAGTTAATTGCTGATGAGGGGGACTCAGTTTTTAATCTGTTGGTTAATCCAGATCTGCAGCATTTGGAGCCTTTTACTGTCTAAGGAGCCCAGACAAGACTGGGCAAGGCCAATATTCCTCCTCCCTGGTGCCATCCTCATGGCCAAACCATATTTATGAGCCTGTACTTCATAGGCAAACCCCCCCCAGTCTCTTGCAAACCCCCTGTGTTACAAGAAATCTGATATCCTTACTTAGCATATATGCAGAGCCTGGTCCAAACACGGCTAATAAATATATTGTATAAATAATATAATAAATATAATAAACCCCTGTCATCTAAACCAACTGTTTCTCCTCATTTTAGGGAGTGTTTGTCTTGCAGGTAAATATTTTCCCTTACCAACCTGTGCCATAAGTTTCTCCCAGTTCAGATTAGTCTGCAAAACCAAAGGAATCTCCATGTGCTGATATTCCCTGGTTTGTGATGGCTTCCCATTTTGGCTGTAACCATGGTGCTGCTTGATTTATCATGGTTGCATGGCACAATGTGTATCTCATTATTCTCTCCTGGAAGCTTTGTATGGCTTTTATTTAGCTGTAAAAATAATTTACATTTTTTGTGCATCTGAATTAAAGATAGAATAGAACTATGACATCGAGAGCTGGCGATTTTATGCAAATTTATTTATAAATATAAATCACATTTAAAATACAAAATTACACAAATGTCTTCTACAGATCACCCATCTCCAAAAGAAATTATTTCTTTACTTTTTCAAGGATAATGCCTAAACATGTTATCCATATATTTGCAATGGGAATGGAAACTTGGTTAAAAAACCCCAAGTGAAATTTGAGAACCTGATGGGATCAGTTATGTGACAAGGATCGTTTCAGCTCTACATCAGTGACTTGACATGGAGTGATGGCTCCATGTCACCAGCCTGTGTCACTCTGGGGTGGAATTCCAGCTCTGCTGAAGCCACTGGCAGATTCCAGGCTGGATTTACCCAGACCACGATGCTCCAAGGTGACATCCAGGAAGAGCAGTGACACCCCGAGTCCACCTCACAGTGCTCCTGTAGCCACATCACCCCCAGCACCTGTGCCAGAGCTTGTGTTACCCAAATACTCCAGAATAACATTCCCGGGAAAACCCAGCTGCTTGCATCTAATTCCAATACTCCCAAGCATCAGAAATCCAGGAGTTTTCACTGTCTTTTGGGATTTCAGAATGGAGTACACTGAACTTTTGAAAGTGGAATACAAGAGGTGAGGATTTTCTGACTAGACAAATAATGTGTCACAAATAATTTGACAGTAGTTCCTTGGATTTCAAAACAATAATGGATTTTAAATACAATTAGGACTTTATCAAATTTCTTTTACAAATTTTGATACCTTTCCTCTGCTCTAATTTCAGGTTTTCCCTTTTTCCCTCTTTTGGAGCCTGGTTGTTTTCTCATTTTCTCCTTTAACACAAAATCTCTGCCCTGGGGAAAAAAAAATCAGTGGTTGTTTTCGTGACTTTCCAACAAAATCATCCGTGAGGTCTCAGATTTGATGAACAGTTTCAGCATAACATTCCTTCTACTTGATGGAGGTGACATCCAAACCATCTCAGAAATCTCCATGCTGCTCATCCTTCTGCCACAAGGAATTCTCCACTGAGAATTCTTCTATGCCCATTGCACTTTATCCCCTCAAAAACGGAGAATTGTTTCCTAAGGAAGAAAAAAAGGCATAAAATATTAACTGCCAATGCACTGCTCTTTCCTTAGCTCTGCTTCTACACTGAGGTTAAATACAACTCTGGAATCAAAATTAACGTAGAAAAGGGCTTTTCCCTAAGTCAGAGCAACTCCATGGGCTATTTGCTACCCTGAGCCTCTGTAATCCACACAAGAAAATCACAAAATCACTAAGTTTGGAAAAGACCTCCAAGATCATCCACTCCAACCTTCAGCCCAATTCCACCATTCCACTAAACCAAATCACCCACATTTCTGAGCCTCTTCTCACTATTTTACCTAGAAAAGCTTTCAGTTGCATCTTCCTGTCATTTGGGTTTGTTTAATTCCACCTTTTGAAAAACTGAAAAGGGAAGAAACTCCAGGATTACAATTGAAAAACTCATAAAATGATCCTCTGAAATTTACCACGTTAGAAAATTCCTGTCGATGTTTTTAACCATGCCACAAAAATCCCTAAAAGACACAAAAGTTTTGGCTCAGTATAATGAAAAAGTTTTAACAATTAATAAATAAATTCTGGTGGATGAACACTGAGGACACATTTCCAATTTTATACATTTAGGGTGACAGAAGGAAAATACCTTTACTAGCTAATTATTGCTCCATCAGCATACTCAGAATTTGCCAAGGTGTTGTGGGCAGAATAAAGTCCCATTCCCCAAAATTTCCATTATCAATGAAATCTGGATATTTGGAAGACGACAACATCTGCTGCGAAGAGCAGGAGAGTGATGGCTGTGGATGCTCAGCTTTGCATCCTGGCTGGTACTGGACCAAACACATCCAGCAGGGCATCAGAACTTTGGAGCAGAGATGAAGAAATGAAAAAGGAAAAAAGGAAGGTGTAAGAATGAGAAAAGTTGTAAGTAAGAAGAGCTGAGTTAACTGGAGACTGGTTTAACAGATGTAGAATAGTTTTACACTTCAGGAGGGAATTGTGCTGGTACAACCTCCAGTCCCACCTCAGATAATTGGATTTAAGCACGAATTTAAGGACAAAGCTGAGCTGGGATAGTTTGTGAGAGCACTATAAAAGCACAACCTTCCATTCTCCCAAACCATATGGGTTTGACTTCCCATATGGAGTGACAAAATAAAAATGTAGTCTAAAAATAGCTCTCAAAAGTGCACTGGCTGAAGGCTGCTTCCCGTGCCACAATTTGATTAGCCTTGTGTTTTATTTCTTCAGCAGCGATTTCCATTTATCTCTGATTTGGAGCATGAAAAGCTGCTTTTAGAGTTGTAAGCAGAGGAGAAAAAGGCATCCTAGAAACAAATATAGAGAGAGCTCTTCTGGCTTTACAGGAGCTGCAGGAGCAAGGAAAATGATTTCAGAGCAGCACAAAAGAAAGTGATGCAGGGAGAGGATCCCTCCTTGCAGTCTGCACTCGAGTTCCCTGTCAGCCCAGTGCAGGGCATTATTTATTCGGTGCAGCTCTGGAGGAACCCAAAGGAGCCAAAAACTGTCAGAGCAGAATCGCCCGTGCGGAGGGAGCGGTGCCAGCGCGGCTCGCCCGGCGCCCGCCCCAACAGCTCCTCCTGGGCACCAGCACAGCCCAGGGATGGATGGCACAGGGCACAAACAATCCCACTCAGGCTCTGCTGGAAGGTGCCTTCAGAGATTTGTTTCGGGGTTTTCTTTGGAGTGAGAAAAATCTAGACTGAAGTCCAGGAGCCTGTACTGGGCACTGGGCAGGCTCTGGACACCACATCACACCACGGCCCAACATCTGCAACAGTAAAGTTCTTCTATTTGATATTTTTTCTCTCTCTATCTCTTGTTTGTTAAAGCTCTAGGAATGATTTTCCCAATCTGAGCAAAAGCTCTGCACTGCCCCTTAAAAGAGGTTTTTGTAATATCTAAGAAATATTAAAATCTAAAGAGGGGAAAGAAATCAAGAGCGGGGAAAGGCTGAAATAGCATTGGCAGAGAAAGGATTAGAAACTAGCTTTTCTCTACAGAATTTATAGAGAGAAAAAAAAAAAATCCAGCACTTCGAAAACAATTATTTGCAAAGTTCAAAGAGTTTGGTACCCTTTGCTTGGGTAAGATAAGGGGCAACAAATAGCACCCACAGTCGCGAGGAGTTTAACCCAATTACTCCTGTCAGCAAAACTAATTTTACAAAGCACATTTGTGCCAGGAAGAATACTTTCCTTGCTTCCAATTCTTTTTTACATTGCTAATAAGTCTCTCAGCAGTCGATTAGAAGTGCCTCTTCAGCCAGGAGCAGGCAGATTGCCCTAAGAGCAGGAAAAATCCTGATTGCAGCCGAGGGGAATTTCACCCGAGGAGTTTCCCTGCAGGTGCCTGGTGCTGGGACTGGTGTTTTACAGCTGCTGCTGATGCTTTCTGCACACTGACAGCTTCCAGGAGCAGCATCTGGGACTGCTCTGACCCCTTTCCCTCACTGACACCCAGAAATCAGAGGGTGTTTTAGGGCTACGTGTCCAGAGAAGGGAAAAGGCTCACAAAAAACCTTCGAAATCTCTCCCAAGCGATGCAAAATCCAGCCGGAACATCCCAAATCCTGTCACCTGCTGAGTCAAGGCAAACCCTTTAAGGCAATGTAAGTTCAGAAGAATTGAATTTCTTCTGAATCTAAATTCTGCTGAATCTAATAGGATGCAGCACCCCAACTCTTCCATCCCTGTTGGATATTCAGGATAAGGTGGAAAAAGAGGAAAACTCCTCCAAATAGCACTGCAGGCACAACAACAAAACATCAAATCCTTCCTCAACCACAAGCCACTTCCCTATGGAACGCCAGGATAAAATCCTCTCAAAGTGCATTAATGCAATAGCTAATATATTAAATTTCAGTTTAAAAAATGAGGCATGAGAGGCAAGGATGATCAAGGACAGCCCTCCCCGGGTGGGTGCCACTTTTCCAGCTCCACAGATGGGGAACATTTCCCGAGGAGATGCTGAAAACCCCTGGCTGTGCTCTCTGCAAGGAGGAGCACCAAGGCAGGAAGATGAGCACTGGATATGGGAGACAGAGAATTTAAACTTTTCGACTCATCCCATAACAATGTGAAAAAAAATTCAGTCTCTTTGTGGATAAATGCAATTTTATCAACTCTGCAGTGAAAAGCCCCAGGCAGCCCTTGGCACCTCACCTACACCTGGAAAATTACTGCAGTGTCTTAATTCATCCAGAGAAATGCTCTTATGCAAAGAAAATATTTAGAAGATTGAGAAGAGGATCAGCTTCCAGTTTTGTATATTCTGGGCAGCTCTGTGTTCTGTGTGTAGGAACCTCGCTGAAGAACAGGGATTGGAGGTGTCCATGTCCATCCCAAACATTATAAGAAATCTTCTGACATCTAAACGCAGCACACAGAAAATAGGCTAAATTCATTAAGTCAAGTTACTCCATTTTAATTCTTACTTTTTGGTTTTTGTTCCAAAGGCTTTGTGGCAATTCATGTCAAAGAGTCAAGTAAATATTTTCTTGTGCTGTGTGGAAAACAATGTCAGGCAGTGATGGGAGTGAAATACTGACTTTGTAAAACTCTTTGTACATCTGATAGGATTGACTGATTTTGTGAGATTATAGAAGATGCATTCCATGATTATATACACCCCTAGAGACTTCGTGGAGGTGAGATTCTGCATCTCACAATGTTATTTAACCAGGAAAAAACAGACTAAGTAAATAAAAAATCTGCAGGATGTGACTTCATCGTGCACTGTTGCCACCTGCTTCTATGATTTAAAGGATGTTACTAAGAATATCAGGGTTGCTAATGTAAATGATGAAGAAATCAGAGGTCAATCAGATAATAATAAATATTAGCATAGGTTTCCAAAGGCCAGAAGTGCCTGCAATGGTAATTGGAATTAAGATTTTACTCTTGAATTATGTGATTCTGAAAACACTTTGTTCTCTGCTGCTTTCCTGGAACTGCTCCATTAAAACCAAGAAGACAAACTTTCCAATTTTATTTAATCCAAGAACTGATGTCCCCTTTTCATGAGGATGCTTTTTCTTTTATGTAGGCACCCCCTCACCCTGTACATGAAGTTGTTGTGGTAGAGGGGTGTCCCTTGTGTTCCTGTGCTGATCTCAGGATGCAGCACCCCAACACTTCCATCCCTGTTGGATATTCAGGATAAGGGGGAAAAAGAGGAAAACTCCTCCAAATAGCACTGCAGGCACAACAACAAAACATCAAATCCTTCCTCAACCACAAGCCACTTCCCTATGGAACGCCAGGATAAAATCCTCTCAAAGTGCATTAATGCAACAGCTAATATATTAAAGTTTATGAAAGACTGGTCCCAACAATATGGGTAAAATTGACAGAATACCTGAAGTTCATGGCACTATTTGCAGCATCTCTGAATTACTCTGGACACACAGCAAACACCCAAAAAATGTGGCTGCAACTTTAGAATAATTCCTTTTGGAGTTATTCAGCAACACCTTGTGCAGCAAAAAAAACAGCCCAGAAGCCAGGCTGGTGCTGGGAGGAAATTCCAGAGGGTGAGGGGCTGGCAGTGGCTTTAAAGCACCTCTAGACACCCCTCCTGCACTGCTGTCCCAGAGGAGTCTGAAAGTCAGAAGCATGAAAATATTTTCACTAATAAAGTTGCTGGGTGCTGCCTGTCTTACCTGGGGATTCCTGCCAGCACTGCAGAAGGCTTTGGAAATGCTGCTAAACCATATTTTTTGCAGGGCAAACCCCCACAAACTAATCTTCTAATGCTGCCTGAATATTGTTGGGTTGTTTTTCTCTCATGCCTGCGACTCCTGGCTGACAGGCAGCTCACAGAAGTCGTGTTGGAGCTGGTGGCTGAGGCTGGAACACTCCGTGTGAAGAAATCAGGATATGCCACGAGTGTTTCAACGCCATTACACAAAAGTCTAAAATTAGGTCATAAATTATATAATCTTGCAAGGAAACAACAAATTTAATGACTGTGCCAAACCAGAGATAAAAGCTGAGGAAGGAAATAGCATCTTTCTCATTAAATATTAAGGATCAGATCCTTCAAACATTTTCCAGTGATGAACTCTGTGGGAGCCTGGCATCTGTATTTGTGTGTGTTCTATAGAATGTGCTTATACATCATATACAAGTGCTGGGTGTGATTTATGGAGCACACACACATAGTAAGTGTATTTATAATGCATAAATACATTCCATCAAGAGCAGAGAGGTGATTAGTGAGAGTTTCCTAAGAGGTTTAATCAGATATTTTGATGGCTTATTTCCAGTGTTGCTCCAAAAGCATTTTTCATTATTACAGGGCACTGGGAGGGAGCAGGTAGAGGCATCTCCTTTCCCCACACAAAGTCTGTGTGCTTTCACATCACATCCTCAGTGGGATTGAAGAACCCTGTGAAGGAAGAAAGATTACCAAGATGCAACAATGGATTGGAAAATTCCCTGCAACCTTTGAATCCCTCCCCTAATGCTGCTGTGCCCCAGCCTTTCTTCTCACCTTACACGAGGCAAATCTGGTTTGATCTGTCTGAAACAACGCAGGGGCGAGGTCTTGTGCACATCCCCTTAAAAGTTGGAAGCAATTCCCTCGGGCTGTGCTGATGTCCTGAGGATGTTAATGAGAGGGAATGGGAATCTCTGATGGAAAAAGGCAGATAGCACTCCCGTCCTTGCTGTCCTCAAAGCCTCTCTGATAACCATGCCCTTTTCTTCAAAGATTTGAGTCATTTGTGGATTGACTACATAATCCTTGTGCTGGAGCCTGGGAAAACTGCTGTTGATGCCCTTGGCAAATTCTTAGCCTAAAAAAGCATGAAAAAGAGGACCAAGTAATTTCAATTCCATAAAATACATTAAATGCAGCACACAGGTATGTAAATGGGAAACTCCATAACTGTAATTTGCCCATTTAGAGTCTGATCTAAAGGCTATAAAAGTTAATTTGAAATCTTTTCATTGATTTTAATGGCCTTTAGATCAGGCCCATATTATGCACTGCATATCATGTTTGTTTCAGTGCAATAGTGTATTTATGTAAAATGTGAGTTATGTGGATTATAACACATGCAGATCGGCTGCTTATTGTGCAAGGACAAATCTTGTGAAATTTACTGGCTTTGGCAACACACATAAAATCCAAAAAACAAAATAAAGTCCCAAATAATGATTGGTCTTTTAAAAAGTGAGATTAAAAAAAAAAATGAGGAGGCCTTATTTCATTATATACTAATACAACCTAAATGTATTTTAAGGATCATGAAATCCAAATGGAAATTTGCACAATTCCTCATTTCTGACTGCAGCAGTTGAACAAAAAAAAAAAAAAAATTACATGTAAATGATTCAAAACCTCTCAA